ACCGGCAATCACGTTGTACACAATGCCACGTTGTACACAACGCTTCGTTTTCAGGTTCATCGGCGTCTTGTTTTATTTAAGTGGCAACGTCTGCCTAATTAGCTTGCGCTTCTCACTTATTTGTTATGCAGAAATTGCTGTTCCTTGAGGCATTCATGTTTTGCCTGTATCAATTTTTCCAAAAAACAGGAAACTTGGCATTCGTACGAACTGAATTGTGGATAAGCACTATGAGCGTGGTGCCTGGTGGCGTCTGGTGCATGTTTTACTAAATGCTAATTGGTGACACTGACCGGCTAACTGTCAGCAGCACAGATTTTGCATTCTCAGGCAAAATTAACGCGGCAAGCGCAGTATATAAAGATGTCAGTGCTGTTAGGTGATAATCACGGTTACTTGGTGCAGCACTCTGCTGTCAACTCTTTCCCGATCTAAGGCAATCTTTATCGACTTCAGTTATGTGTGCGAAGAAGTCAACCGCTGCTATCCTTTCGCTGTGTACCACCGTCACGCTGCTACTGCATCACAGCGCAGCGGAGTCTGGTGACCCCACCGTCGAATCTGACCTCGACGCAATCAACGCTGGAATTGGTACAATAAAATCATCTGGAACTGCCACCCGGTAAGGCCTTTAATGACTGCAGCGCACGCTTTACTGGAATGACTTCCAACTTAGTGGATGCTGCGCTGATAACATGAAACACCTTGCTTTCACGCAGTTAGTGCCGTTTATATCGTGTAAGCACAAATTTAGAGCAGCATGCTATGCCCTGCCACGGTAAATTCGTCGCTTAAATTATAATTATTACTTCAAAATTAAATCATAAATCATAATCGAATGTGCAGAGTGTGATCATCTGCTCTGTCAACTGTTCATATAACTATGCATATGCGGAAGTTAGAGCGACATACAGATACACCCTGTGACTTGTGAGCAAGAAAAAGGCGCGGTGAATTTTCTGTACGCGCTTTACCAAGACAGCAAAAACCGGTTTTAAAACGATGTGAAAGTGATAGTACAGCAGAAACATTTAAGGACATACCGAACTGCACAGGTGTGTGTTTGCTTGGTATTTAGCGCAGGTATGTCCAAACGTTGAGTTGAAACCAAATCAACTAGCGGTCAACGTAACCGTGGATAGTTGCCCTAACCAGCATTCGTAACCGTCAACCGTGGATGGTCGAGGAGTGGCAATCCTTGGTTGTTTCACATTGCAGCCATCCACGGTTGTCGGTTAAGCCACCCTCTAGTGGACTTGCTGGTGCTGGTCAACTCAACGTGGAAAGGTACATGTGTCTGTCCAGACTGCGTCTCAAACTTGCTCGTACGGATGCCAACCGACTTATGCTCCGGTCATACTTGGTGTTTGAAGCCTTTAGAACAGTTCTAATCAAAAAACGTGTTAACAGTATGACCGCAAGCTGTTCTAAGCACCTTTTTCTTGGAACCAAAAACTATGACCACTCTTCGCACAAAATCTTTAAAACATGTTCTATAGCTATATAAAACGTGTTTTAGTGGGGAGGGGCCTAATCAAACTTCTTGAGATGTTTTAGTACGTTTAGTCAATGGTAGTGCTCAGGACCGGAACTGGATCCTGGTCACATACCGATTCCCATTGTTATATGAGCTGATAATGCGGATATCATTTGAAAACACTTAAAAAAAGTGCGTCCAACTGTCGAAAACACATAGGTCATGTCATGTAATAATTTGAGATACAAATTTTGCTGCTATCATTTAAAAGCACTACCGATACGTAATAAGTAACAAAAGCAAAATGCATGTGCTAAGCAAAAAGTTCTAAATTTTTCGTTAGAACACGAAGTATGACCGGGGAATTAGAGAACGCACTCGTACGCGCGCGCACTTATAGATGACTGACAGAATTCAAGAACATTAATTTTAACAGGAATGTTGCGTCCTAAAACTCATTTCGTCTCATTACATACATGCAACATACAGCTTAGGACAAAATGGTCGCATACCCAATATCTCCACATTCAGTACGAATGCAGCGCAGTGCACTGTACGACTGAGTTCAAAATATCCGTTTCGTACAAGTGTACTGCACCGCTTGCGTACAGAATGCTGGGTATGGGGCTTTGCGACCATTTAGTCCTACATTGTAACAACGGGTTTTCGGGTTCAGGGAACAGGCGGGAAAGCTTGTTTTATCGTGAACGTAAATGAAGAACCGAGAAAACCTATTTTACTTCGATAATTTCTTATACATACAACCAGAAAATAACATCACTATATTATCGTATCTATAAAAACGTTAGCAAACAAAATTTACTGTTAAAGTGATGGGTGGTACCGCGCAAGCGGATTAAGCACCGCTGTATCAGAGATCTGCTAGCCGCAGGTTTTGACCCTTCCAGTCGCACGCAAGGGAAGCGGCAATTAATGCAATCAAGTGCTTCTTAACAGTAACCAGTTAGCTTAAGTGCATCCGCGAACAAAAAATGTCTAATTAACACCGACGCAACGTAAAGCGTACATCAGTGGGATTAACAGCGAGGCTCATACCGAATGCCTTTACATTTTTTGCAGTTCCTTTACAACCAACATCTTACAAACATTTCTAAAATGTTCCGACCCATTAATGACTAATGGCTGTCGCGAGTGTGAGAAGTCATGCGCCAACCCCAACCCGTCGCCGTTATGCGCTTATCCTTGCGACAGCACCTGCATCTGCAAACCGGGTCTATACCGTACTTTCATTCCCTCGCCGACATGCGCGCCGCCCAATGGACCCCTGCTCAACAACTGCAAAGCAGCATTAAGTAACGTTAAAGGTTAAACACCCGATGGCCGCGGCTACGATGCGTGTTGTCATTAATTGATGTACACAGCAAGCGCTGATGATAGTTTATTTCTAGATGGTGTTGCACTGCACACTGATTTTGTCTGATTACTTTGATTGCCTTTGAACAAAAACGGAAATTCTACTGATGACATCAAATGATCACGTATATCTGTACAGGGTGGGCAGTTAGATTCAAATGTACCCAGAGATTTCTAAGACTGGCAGCGGCATATCTGTTAAATTTTGTGGTGATTACATTACAGGTCTCGAGATGTTGATTTAATCAAATTATTAAGTGTGTCGCCAAGGAGGAAAAATAAGTATAGTATTTTGTTCGGCAATGTGTGAGCACTCTTTAACTGCACCCATTGTACTACGTTATTAAAACTACTTTACTACAATAATAATACTCTGCATTACTCAGCCACTTTTATTAAACGTTTATTGATTTTATAACCGCGACATAATAGTCGTGAATCATCTCATTAGGGCCGGCATTCCACCACCAAGAATTTAAAAAATGAAAGGACTACGCGCAAGAGGCTATGCCGCAAATATTTAAATAAAGTTTTTTTGAGTTTTTTTATGAGTTTCGGCATTCTGCCTGGTCATTTCCATAATGGTATAGTTGCGCAGAGAATTGCACTGAGTGCAGAGAGCCGTTCCGTGTTGCTCAGTGAACCGCACTACTAATGGCGGACGTAACCGGTAACACCGCGCGGATGGTTAGATCGTTCGCCTACCGCTTTTGCCTGAACGCCGGCAAACCCGTGCAGCCCACAAACAAACTATCTACCTAATTTGTAAAAATAGTAGTTTGCAAGGAATCATAGTTCCTAGATGCACGATAGGCCGGATTGGGAATGCGATGCACATGTATTGTACACGTATTACGGTCTGTAATAATAGCAGCTTTAATTATTATTTGTTAACACGTAATAATTAGCGATTGCAACTAACGCATTTCCCGGCAGACGCGGAACTTCTACATGATTATACCACATTGCGAAAGCTAACTTACTGGGAAAACCTGAAAAAGTTAGCCCAAAGCATAACTCAACCGGAACGTATGTGCCTAAAATTCATTTTAAATTCGAAAAAAAATCGTAAAGTCTGGATCGGTGTGAGAACGATCTTCATAGTTACGTACATTTACGTGCGAAATTTGAAAGAGATCGGTCCATAATGAAACTTTTGGTACACTTGAATGCATTTAAACTTTTTGGAATTCTGGGTCACCCATAATTTTCCAACCTGATGTTGCGCGCGCAAACCCATTTCACGCCTACGTAAACAAATCCTCAGGCTACAGAATAACATAAAGCAATGAAGAAAAGTATCTGGGAGTGGGCGAAAGCGAAAGTTGCCGTTGGATGTACACAAATTTTGGTGCTATGTGCCGGGCCAAATCCTTTAGCTCGTGATTAATGTTACCGCTTCCGGACTCCACTGGGGGCACTGGAGCCCCGGCTGCTTTGAGGCTGGTGCTCTCGGTGATTGGCTGTGTGCGTTGACCGTGGGTCAGGGAAAAGCCGGCCGACCGGGGTCGGCGGAAGAGAGCGACCAGTGCCCTGCGCAACCGAAGGCCCCTTTATTGAGCAAGAGCGAAATAACATCAGAAGAAGAACGGTAGGGTGTGGCGGGTGGTAAAAGAACAGAGATCACTCGCGCGCACACGATCTCGAAGGAACAGAGACAGACAGCATGCAGAACCAGTGCGAGCACACGAACAGTGCCAAGCGCAAACAACATGCCCGTGCAGGACGGCGGCCGCTTTGATCTAAAGCGCCACGGCGACGCGCAGCGCCACCAACAGACTCACGTAGCTTACTACACAAGGGGAAAGGAGAAAGAGCGGGAGCGCATGTCCTCCAGCTAACATTAACATCAATTAACTCGTTAATTGTCATTTAGTTATTGCAATTTGCATACTGTGTTCCGTGCATCAAGCACTAACAGGTCTTTTACATAATGTAATCATGCATTGCAATTTATCGCTGTTACCATAGTACCCCACAACAAGTATGCAAAACAACAGTGCAGCGTGCCCACCAAGGGATTATTCACATCCATCCTGCTTGAATCGACTGTTGGCCGCTGAGTCGCCGACCATGGCCGAACGATGCAATGCGATATATAAGCGTAAGCTGCGCACACAATACGGTAACTTCAAAGAAAACATGAGTAAGAATGTTACTTTTGCAAAGCATACTACTATTTTTGCAAGAGCAAACAAGATGGAGTGTGATAATAGTAGAATAAGAGCTCTGACTAACGCATAGTTTCAGTGTCATTGCGAGAAGTATGCATAAATATATTCCTAAGTGTGTATGATACACTGTTGTACAACGTACATTGACATTGTGACTGTGAGGCTGAATAAAATAACGAAACGGTTTTAGATTGTGACCTTTACGGATGCATGCCGGTTGTTCTTGCTTGAACATGGGCGGAACGCGCGCCGCCGACCGCTGCCGTTGTCGCCGTGGAGTGCGAGACAATGGGCTTGGCTGATCTTTTGGTGCACTGAGATACAACCTTTTCACATCTCATGGCCAGCAGTTGGCGCACTTGTTGTCGGTACTCCTTGCTGACAGTCAGATATACGAAGAAGTTTAGCGAATAATTTGCCATCAAAGAGACATCACAAATGAGCGGTAAAATATCCGAGATGGTATGCGTAGGCGTAATAGGCAGCCCAAAAATCTGGACCAGCACGATACCGGAGGCTAGCAGATTAGGACCATTTGTAACAAGGTAGACGGCGACGGTGCCCCACAGCAGAATATGGTGGGAGATGGTGTGCTTATTGCGAGAGTCGTGTGTTTGACCGGAATGGAGAAGAGATTGTGTTGCACGGTATTCCCTGCGAATGGCACAAATAAGGATACTGCTTAAGAGCAGCAAGAGAAGAAATTTTCCAAAGCCGAGAAATGCCTGTAAATTGCCACTCATTAACATTAGCAGAGGCATTCTAGATGGCCATATGCAGGATGCACGTCCGTCGTACTCGTAACATGGTTAAAAAATTTCAATGACTTTTAAAAATTATTTAGCTCCAAAAAAATTTTATAAACCAACCAAGATCGCAAAAAGCTGGTTTATACCAGGTAGGTAGCCGAGTGAGACGTACACTATTTATATTGGTATGTAAACTGATCACAGTATGACATACATATAACTAAACTACTGACCAGCAAAGTGCCATGAGCTGCTGCCCAACGCAACAACCAGTGCGGCGAGTAAAACTGCCTTCCAATTAAGAACTGGACATATTCAGAAGAGTCTTTGCTCGACGGGATTAAAAAGGAAATTTTCCAAACAACGTTAGCCAGCTCATACGAAGTCACAGTGAAAGCGGTTACTAAGATACCGCACACCGTAAGCCGGACTGGCAGCGTGGGATGCGTCAGGTTCACTCCAAACGGACTGATATAGGCTAACAGTCGTCCACCCGCGAATGCAATTAAGGTCCTGAAAATATCGTAATGCCTTATACGCATTCAAAAAATGTGGACTTGCCAACATTTTGTTTACAAATACTTGTATCTTGAATTATTTCAGGTTAACGCATTACGGGATAAATTCCTAATTGTCACGAGTAGTAATGGCCTACCAATCGCATATTTCCACGCATAAGCCGCGCAGGTATCCAGATATCGCAGTTGTCACCCACCATCCCACGGCAAGATGGATTTCCAACCACGATGCCGAAGAGAGGACGGGGACTTCCCAAATATATGTTGGGAAGTTGGCCCACCTGAGAAAGTACAAAATGATTATTGTGACCGTTTGGTACCTGAAGTTCTTTCGCCCCTGATCTTACAGCGCATTCAGGTTGGCGACACTGATAGTTGTCATGAACACATTGGTGCTGGTACGCTTTTTGGCTGACATCAACACGGCAATGTTGATCGTATTGCCGACAGTACAACAAGCCAGAAGGAATGGATATGTTATCAGCTCAACAATGTACTGCCATTCAACCGTAACCACTCTGTAATTAAAAGAGTCTGATTCGTAATTATAGCTCGTCTTGTTAGTGCCACTATTCGCCAGTGATTCGTTGGTGGTACGTTCGCTGGGAATGTAACAATCCGCTGTAGCGTTCATTGGGATGTTTGTGGACGACCTCTGCTTAAACCGCCAAACTTTAACACATTCAACTAAGAATAAACACTGCCGGATTACTCTGCAGCATTTAATAAAGCGCTTTCTGTTACTCGACACATTCCGAGTGCATTCTGGATGATGGATGAGTAAAAGGATCAGCTATGGACGTCATACGCCAGCGAATCCCGGTCTTTAAGCTAGCCGTTCCTACAGTGAAATTGATGCCAAATCTATCGATCCGAAAATTTCGGCACTTCACTTGTTATTTGAATGAGCAAGGTTGTGAAAAACACGCTTTTGTAAAAGTGGTACAAAAAGTGAGACCTCCGTTTACGTTGAGCCATGAAAACAGAGTTTTTCCTTTTTTGTTTGCCTACAGTTTCCCTATGACACTGACGAAAATCTACACGAAATGCGACTCGCTGGTTTTTCTGCAATTGCGGTAAACCATACAAACAGAACAGTTTGTCGACAGCCGCCGACTACAGTAAAACCTCTCGTTACATACACTTGTTTATGAAATGCACTACTCTATAACATATAACCGGTAAGGAACCGAATTGGCTCGCATGTTATAACATAGACGGATTCTCTTTGTAACACCTCTTCAATCCTTACATACATCTTCCGCGGAACCGAATTTAGTTTAAGTAGAGAACCTCATAACAACATTCAACTCCGGTTAAGGAAAATGGCCCGGCATATAGTGTCAGATATGGGATACATACCCCAAAACTTTGGCTTTCGCGCACTCCGAATCACGTCTTCGTAAAACTTTAATGTCATTCTAAAGTTAAATGACGTGTTTGCAGTGTTTTGAAAACCGTTTGCGCGCGCAACATCCGGTTGCCGAGATATGGCGAACTAAAATGGGTTAAAAGTTTAAATGCATTGTTGTGTACCAAAGGTCTAGTTATTACCCCATCTTCTTGCTTTTCTGTAAAAGAGACATGGCCATTTTGATGTATGTATGTATCGTACGTATAGGTAGAGAATGGGCGTATCGTAACTTTTATTGTACTGTATCGTAAAAAGCTGTGAAGCAGCTGAATAGGTAGAGAAAGACCAGAAGCGTAGATATGAAAATGCTAAGAAGATAGCAAACAGGTAAGTTAGAGAAAGCACGAGAATCTGGGAATCGTAAACCATAGCCATAAAGTCGAAAGTAAACCAATTTTCCGGTTCATAGCACTTTCCTATAATTTTAAAATGAATTTAAAGATTTTGAAATTCGTTTTAAAATCGGAAAAAAATGCTATGGATCTGATATTGATTCACTTTCGACTTCATGGCCATGTGTCTTTTACAGCAAAGTTTCAGGAAGATGGGGGTAATAACCAAACCTTTGGTACACAACAATGCATTTAAACTTTTAGCGCATTTTAGTTCGCCCATTCTCGGCAACCGGATGCTGCGCGCCCAAACGGTTTTCAGAACACTGTAAACAAATGATTTAACTTTTGAATGACATTACCAAATAGTGACTCGGAGTGCGCGAAAGCGAAAGTTTAGGTATATGTATCCCATTTCTGACACCATGTACCGGGCCATTTCCCTTAAAACAAAGTTGCATACAAGTAGCCGGATGCAAACGGATGTGATCTTATCATCCTCAACTAATAAGCAGCGACATTAAAGTTCTTTGTGTAAATGGTAATTACTACAGTATATGCAGAACAGCAGAAGTATATCTCAAGTTCTCAACAGAGTTTTCTTATTTTACCCTTCTTCAAGTGCGTACTAAACATATTTTATGATGAACTCAAAACGAAGATTATGTTTTTTAATGTACTCGTTTGTACTCCAAACTTGTAGTGTAGTATGTGTACTACAGATTCTTACAACTGCCTAAATGTTTTATTTATGAAATACATGTACTGCGACGCCCCCATCCCGAATTACAGTAGTACTAGATATGGCCCATTTCGTACCCCTCTATAAGATCGGCCCGCTTTTTTGTTAATGGGTCCATGTATTTCTAAGTATTCCGGTTGCATTCTTACTGTTGTGAGGCGATGGCTCCCCTGCGTCCACCTTCGTGACGCTACTGGAGTTACGGGAGTGCTTCGTTGCACTACTCCGTGGGGAATTGCCGTCTGTGACGCAGCGCTTCTCTCTGTGAGGCGATGGCTCCCCTGCGTCCACCTTAGTGACGCTACTGGAGTTGGGGGAGTGCTTCGTTGCACTACGCACTGGGGATTCCCCATGGAATTACCGTCTGTGGCGTGGCTCTCTTCTGATTGGCTGACGGCTGCTGTTCACTGTGTTCACTATGCGCCGTGCAGTTTACATGTGAGATATTTGGTAGACGTTAGCTCACCGAGCATTGAACGTCAGTGTGTTGGTTTTCACGATAGAGAACGCTAATAAAGTGTACTACGTAGACTGGATATCGTGCGTTGTGCATTTCTTCCCTAAAACGTCACGTATTACACTCCACGGAGTCCTGTCAGTCTGGGCTACCGTCCTGGACTCTTTCACAGTCCACGGTGATATGGTAGCAGAGCCGTGAACAGACGGTTTCTGAGTTTTCATCTGTTTGGCGAACGGCCACATTCTACCTGTTTGGCGAACGGCCATATTGATCTGGATCATCTTGATCTCATTGATCTCATTTCACCAGTAAGGCACTGGTTTCCCTCATCTGAAGCAAGGCGCGCTCATCGATCGGATTGCCAGCATCAGCGGCTGCACTGACTAGAGAGTCTCCTGTAGGAGAACTCGTCGTGCACTTCCAATCAGACGGCAGAAGGCTGCGGTGCAAGATCTCTCCTGTTGGAGAACTTGTGCTGTTTCCTCTGCTAGGCAGCGAGTACCTCTTGTCGGGGTCAAGGCTGTCGGGCACAAGAGCCGAGAAGCCACGAGTTGGCAGCACCGAAGGAGGTGCCAAGAGTCAGTTTTTCGCGCTCCATCAAATTGGTTGTAGAGCGACCTGCTGGTAGGCTTGACAAGCCCAGCAGAAGGCTAATTAGGTCGGACAGGAAGGCGCCAAAACCGTGCGGAATACGGCTACGCGGGATCGGACTGTGGAGAAGATCATCTGGATCATCTCCATCATCTGGATCATCTTCCTTGCGGGATCGGAACGGTAGACAGGTAAAAACCGTTATTAATTATTGGACTGGTTGAAGCGTAAAAAGCGCAATTCTTATTGGTCGGTACTGAGCTGAGCTAGACGTAGGCGTAGTTTTTGCACACGGCACGCAAGTCTGGCCGTCGATCTGTGACGTCAGGCCGGTCAGGAAGTTTTAATGAGTACACGTGATTGGTCAGTTTAACGAACTCCGATTGGTCAAAATTTTCAACAGTAAAATCGATCTAAAAACGATCTCCTACCGATCTCCCAGCAGTAAAAACGATCTCTTTTCATCGGAAACGATCTAAATTTGGTTAAAGGAAGTTAGTCTTAATTGAATTGAAGTGACGGAAAAGTGACCATCTCGGAGATCGATCATCTCGAGATCATCAGTGACCTTTGAGATCAGATCAGATCAGATAGTGACCTTTACAACCGAGCTGAGATCATCTATTTTAACCGAAAAACAAACTTTAAACGATCTTTCCAGCAGTTTTATCGATATTAACAGTTGAGCGAGATCATTTTTGAGGCAAACCTCTTGATCTTTTTCTCGAAAAAGTGACCTTTAAAATCGAACTGGATCGAAGTAAATCAGCTAAAAAGCGATCTCAGGGACCTAAAACGATCTCATAATACGTGTGTGTGAGCAAAACCAATAGGTGCGTCTCAGTTATCCGATCACCATGGACAAAGAAATCATCGAACCGACATCTAACAGCAGCCAAGGGAGCCGAGGCTCCCGAGGCTCAAAGCAAGGCGCACCCAACCCTTATGAGAAGGATTTTAACTCGTACACACGCCCAGTCGCACATGAACGGGCCACTCGAGCACCTAAAGCCTTTGAGAGGAAAGACTCTCGAGGCTCTGACATGACATATCAGAAGGCACTCGAAGCAGTGTCGGGTCATGAGAGCTCCAGTGATGATCTGAAACGATCTCCCGCGCCTGCGGCGGGAAGCAGTGAGGTGAACCGGGAGGTCACCAAAGAAGGAATGAACTCGGAAAGAGCTGCGGAGATGGATCTGACATCGCAAAAGGATATATCCGACCAGGACAAGAAGGATAACCTGGTTAAAACTGATTTTACCGAGCAGCAAA